GATGGAGCTTAGAGTTAATAAACAGACAAAAAACATTTAAATCAGACAAGAACAATGTATAAGGATTATGAATAGAATTGTGTGATGCTCAAGTAAGTATAAGTAAATGTGTGTCCCTGGTGAGTGATTAGAAAAGGCCTTTTAGGGGCCAGGGATTTAGCTCAGTGGTTCTGTTGCCTGCTTTGTAAGCACAAGGTCCCAAGTTCGATCCCTGGAATTAAAAAAAAAAAAGAAAGAAAGAAAAGAAAAGGCCTTTTAGAGAAAAAAAGACTGAAAGGATAAGGACATGCCTACCTTGTGTACTGTAAACATGGTTCCTATCTGAAAGGAATCAGGAATTCATAGAGAACAAGTGTATTGCAGGTCTGGAACAAGAACTGTAAAAGAAACAAAGAAGTGATCAAAGTCTATTTGGCTCATGATATGGAAGGGACCCCTACAGATAACAGATGTGACTATTTCAACATCAAAAGAGTGGTGTCTGCAATTAATTGGAATATATCCATTGTTTACATGAGTTTACACTGTTACTCTAAAAATTCATTGTTTGTCTGTGGGCCAAAACTGAACAATCAAATATTTATTGTGTCTTTCCATGAAGAGCAGTGCATCAGGGAAACAGTAGTTAAAAGTCATAGCTAATAAATGCAGAAAGAATAATGTTATTATATTAGAATGAAATGAAATTAAACACTTATCTAATGAAACTTTTCACATTTTTCTATAAATACTTTAAAGTGTTTTATGTCAGGAAATATAAAAATTAGTTTAAAGAACAGAAGGAAAAATTCAGGTCTGGACAGAATGATGCATGCCTGTAATCCTGGCACTCCGGAAGCTGAGGCAGGATGATCACTACAAGTTCAGGGCCAGCCTGGGCTACATAGTGAGTTCAAAGCCAGCCTGAATTACATAGTGAAATCCTGTCTCAGAACAAATAAACACATTTAGTAAGTAGGAATGGAAGTGGTAGGAAGATACTTCACATGATGGGAACAGTGTAAAAGTGCAGTAATGACAAAATACTGTACATATTCAGAAAAGACTTGTTAATCAAGTTCCTGAAGTATATGATATGTAAAGAATACATAGTACCTGGAAATAGTGAAAGCAAACTCTTGCCAAATTCAGGAGGAGTATGCTTTGGACTGAAATAATACCATTCAACAGAGGCATTCAGTGATGATTTTAATTAAGCCAATTTGATTTGGCAGCAGCTCTTACTAGAAAGATGCCGTGTTATTCAGGTGCAGTAGTACACACCTGTAATCCCTGGGAGTCTGAGCCAAGAGAATTGAAAGTTTGAGCTCAGCCTGGGTAGCTTTGCAAGTCTCTGTCTCAAAATGAAATAGTAATTAATAAAATAATAAATAATAAAATTATTGTTATTTTAATAAAAAGGAATGAGTGCTAAAGGCCCGGAGTTCAGTCCCCAGTGTGGCCCACACAAATAAATACTTTGAAAAAAGGAAAAGGATGAAAAGGAAAATACCATATACAGAGTGAAGCATTGCTTTGGTATCAACTTCTGCTTACACAGTCCACTAATTATTGTCATTGTTTTTCATTTTAGCATGATAGTATTTTTACAGCTTCATGTGTAGAAATGAGTATCCCAAGGTTCATTATTTCTGAATCCATTACATTGGGCCCTACTACACTAGTGTTAGGGGATCACATATATCTGCATCTAAAAGTAATATGTTACATAGTTGGAATGAGTAGTTCTAACTCATTCTGAGTAAAATGATCTTTGAGATACTCAAATATCTATATCCCTCTGCATATCATAAGATATTCTATTTTTTTCCAGATTTACATTGTATAGATGATAGTAAATGGGTGGGTATATTTGTTGGTAACACTAATTGTTTTAATTTGAAATAATTTGTGATACAGTATTTTTTAAAAAGGAAAGACCTTTAAGGCTAGGGATATAGCTCAGTGGTGCTGCCACCTGCTACACAAGCACAAGGGCCTGAGTTTGATCCCTAGTACAAAAAAACAAAACAAAACAAAACAAAACTTTAAAATCTCTCTTTTGAAGATTACTCTAACAGAATAGCACCAAAATGTGTTCATTAATTCTATAAGCTGGTGTGTATGTGTTTGCTCCAAATTGAGTGTATTTTTTTACTCTCCTGGTTATATGAGTTTGGTTGCTACTTTTTTCTGGGCCTCTGAGGTGCAGTGGGGTTCTAAAGTGTCAAGCTATGGAGTAAGCTCTGTGAACACAAACAGCTGTATTCCCAGTAGCATACTAGAAGGATGTTCTTATGGCTAATCACAGAGTTTGGTGAAGTGAAGTGCATATCATTTAAGTTTCAATTTTCTTATCCTATACTCATCTTTTTTTCTAAAAATGGAGACAAGAGAATGAGAGAGGGTTTTAGTGTTCTGCCATTTGTCATTGGTTCTTCTGAATTAAATTTACAAATAGAAAAATGATAATTTTCTAAACCAAGATCAGCCCAAAAACAAAAATAAAAATGAGAAAACACTTAAGCAAGATACAAGGACAGACTTCCAGTTTACCAATGGCAAACAGTAGGGCAAATAAGGATGAAAAGGCCGATAGTGAACCACCAGGACACCCTGAACTCAAAGCACAGGAAGTAACAAAACAGATCAATCAGGCTCTAGAAAAATTCAAAACAAATAATCTCCCAGATAACCATAGAGATAGTGAGCAAAATGGAAGTCGCAACTCAAGACTCTAGAGCAGAAACTGACAAAAAATAGATGAGCTCAGAACCATGATAGAAGCCATGAAGGCCCAGCATAAGAAAGAAATGGAAAAAATAAACGCCTAACATAGGAAAGAAATGGAATCCATAAAACAGATTCAAACAGATATCCAGGAGATTAAACACTCCATAGGAAGTGTACGCAACAGAATAAAAGAATGCGAAGATAGACTCTCAGATATAGAAGATAAGATTGCAGTCAGTGACCATGAAAAGAGAAGTCTCTTAAAAACAGTAAGACAGCATGAGAAATCAATCCAACAACTCCTAGATGATGCAAAGAAGAATAACATAAGACTGATAGGAATCCATGAAGTAGCAGGAAAAAATACAAAGGACTT